AAGGTTGGGCTGTCCAATGGCCAGAGGTAAGGAGCAGCTCGCTTGCACGCCCAACCTTTCCCCCACAAACCCCCCTTAATCCTGGTGGTTGGTAGGGAGGGACCTTTATCCCCCCACCCACCCAACACACACACACACACACACATACACACACAGCCATGTGATAAAACTTGCAGGCTGAAATTTCTCCCTCTGCTTCTCACCCCCTTCTCTCCTCTCCTCTTCTTTCCAGACATGCCAAATTACTCTGGCAGTCCTAGATGTGTCTCTCGGCTGTGCTGCTGCTGCTGCTGCTGCTGCCTCCGCCTCTGATTCTCCCCTTCCAGATGTTGACAGGCTCCAAACTGAATCGGTGGCTCCAGAGGCACAACGGCTCTTCTCCCCTCTGTGTGGAATCCGAAGGGGGAATGCAACGGCAGAAGGGCAGGCAGAAAGGCAAAGTTGCATATTTTTCCGGCAGCGCACGGAAGCAATTACCCAGAGCGCATTCCACAGAGGTTTGAATTGTGAGCAGGTCCTGCTGGTCATTTTTTTTTTCCCTGAGTGAGAAGAAGTGTGGAGGAAAGAAGAAGAAAAAAGGGAGAGAAAAAGGAAAGGAAGAAAGCTGCCTGTCTCACATACACACAGAGGCGGAATGTCTGTGCTTTCCATCCTCCTGCTAGGTAAGTTGGAGAATTTGGTTTTGTCCCTTAATTTAATTCGGGGAAGGCAGCCTAAAGTTGCAGCCATCAGGCGCAAAGGGAAGGAAAAAACTGTTGGCGTTAAAAGTTTGCAAGAAGCTCATCTGCTTTCAATTGCTTGTTCTTTTACAAGTTAATGCGAGCATTCAAAAGTTAAAGCTCACTTTTCTTATCCAACCCATTCCAGACGTAAAGCTCCGTTCTCCAAAAGGTTTGTTGGATAGGTTTTGGGGTTGTGGGGTGGGGTGGGGGTTTACACCATCATCTGTTAACCAGGTGAACTATTTTGTAAGGGCTCTTTCTTCGCCTCTCTCAAAGGCATGTATAACATGGAAAGGTGTTTGGGGAGTGGGCTAAAAAGAAAAAAGAGAAACATATTGGACTCATTTGTCTTTTTTGCAAACCTGAACAAAGAAAACTTGTTTCAGGGCTCGGGGTCAATTTATTTAACTTTTTGGAGACGGGTGATTTTTGCGCAGGAGTTCGTTTGTCCTGTTTTAAAGGAGTGCATTGTTTCCAACTGATACTGTTTTTTTTTTTAAAAAAGTCTAAATTAGAAACAGATGTGTCAACCTACCACTTGGAAAGAGGTCCTGGGGAGGTGGGGGCAGAGAATGATTGAAGGAAAGGGGCTGAGAGGCAAAAGAGAGAAACTGAAGAACGAAAAAGTCAACACCAAAGAGAAAGAGAGGAAAGTACAGAGGAGAGATTATAGATAAAGAGAGCGATATTGTTTTTAAAAAATCAATGGTTTCACGGAGGGGAAAACGAAGGTTGCTCTAGAATCCAAAGGGGGGGAAAATGGCTTCTTATTCTGTAAAATCCATTCATTTATAAAAGTGTGGCTGCTGCATTCACATGTTCTATTTTAGGCACGGTAGGGTCATCTAGTCCACCCCTCATCCCCCTGAAGTACTGAACTAATTTTATGGAATGTTGCACACATGATTACATTAATGGGGTTTTGAAGGCGTTCCACTTTGGCTAGAAAGGGCCACGGTGTTTCGTGAAGAAATAAAAGAGAGAATGGCCAGATACGAGCAACCAAAAATGTGATTTATCAAAATTACGTGATAAACTAGGTGAACCCAAATAAGAAACAGATGCATCGCAGAGAGCACCTTCTGCCAAATAACGCCAGAGGGTTCATCATTTAACACAGCCAGCAATAAATAAAATAGTTCTTTCTGGTGCTCTTCTGATAAAACGAATTACACCCACCAGTTATCCATGGGTCTTGCCTTAAAGAAGATTATACAAAATGGAGGGGAGAGAGAGAAAAAGATGGAGACGATTATTAAGGAAAGTAGACTGGAGTAAAAGCCAACTGCTCATTTCTTGTGTGAGACAATTAGATGCTGTCTCTTTCAGCCTCTTTTCTAGCATATTGTACTTTCTCCTGAGGTATATTATGTGGAGAATGAGTTTCTCCTTCCGTTCTTCTTACTACCTTGGGCTGACAAGCAGGCAGCTACACACACACACACACACACACACACACACACAATAAAAACCATGGATTAGGGCCATGCAAAGGTTGCCAAATCCTGCTGTCCTCACCTCAGACACATTAGAATTGACTCAAGGACAGCCTCGCCATCTCCCTTAGGAAAGCTAAGCAAAGGGCATGTACAATAAAAAGTCCTTGGAGCCTTTTTTTTTTATATGCACGAAAAAATGATTGCAGAGTTTTTGCATCACGTTGATGCTCTACAAAGGATGGAATAGATGGATACCAGATCGTTGTCAGAAAAGATAGCAAAAGAGAGAATTAAGCTGGAAGCTAAAACATGTAAACAACATTTGCCGAAATTCGGTGTATCTAGTTTAACGAAAAGGAGGACTAGGGTGACAAGATAGCCGTGTTCCAATATCTCAGGGGTTGCCCCAAAGAAGAGGGAGTCAAGCTATTCTCCAAAGCACCCGAAGGCAGGACAAGAAGTAACGGATGGAAAGTAATCAAGGAGAGAAGCAACTTAGAACTAAGGAGAAATTTCCTGATAGTGAAAACAATTGATCAGTGGAACAACTTGCCTCCAGAAGCTGTGAATGCTCCAACACTGGAAGTTTTTAAGAAGAGATTGGATAACCATTTGTCTGAAGTGGTGTAGAGTTTCCTGCCTAAGCAGGGGGTTGGACTATAAGACCTCCAAAGTTCCTTTCAACTCTGTTATTCTGTTAAGCATGCAGGACAGTCTAATTCATTAGCCTTTCCTAGTTCTTCCAATCATCTGGTGACATTGTCTTTCATCTCTGCCAGTTTCAAGTTTGGGATCTCATCTATAAGGAAAGAATCCTGAAGGCAAAAAAAAAAAAAAACGATATTGGAACAAATCTAGGATGGAAACGCAAATTTCCTTATGACAAAACTAAATATAGCAACACAAAGAAAGCAGCCATAACTTTTCTTGCAGAAAAGGTAAGGCAGGTGGATGAAGTAAACAGAATTAGGAAAAAAGAACCAAACATCTTTATGAGGTACCCAAAGGTCTTCAAGTTCTGTTCTTAGGATTTTGGGAAGTGTTTGGATGGCCACTGAAGGAAGGAAGATGCCAGGGGAACCAGAACTAGAATCTGATCTTTTGAAGTTTATCTTGCATTTACAATTCTTCCAAAATAGCTTTCTCATCTTGTGATAATTTCAATCATGAGATGATTTCTTCTTCTCCTTCTCCTTCTCTTTCTTCTCCTCCTCCTCCTTTCTCCTCCTTCCTCCTCCTCCTCCTCCTCCTCCTCCTCCTCCTCCTCCTCCTCCTCTTCTTCTTCTTCTTCTTCTTCTTCTTCCTCCTCCTCCTCCTCCTCCTCCTCCTCCTCCTCTTCCTCCTCCTCCTCCTTCTACTCCTCCTCCCTCTTCTATTCCTCCTCCTCCTCCTTCTTCTCCTCAGACAAGACCAAGCAATTTGTTGTAAACTTGTTCCCCTAAACAAGAATGGAGAAACGAAGCAATGCTCAAAGAATCACATTCTTCTGACATAGCAGGAAGTCAGTCCATTAACATCTGGATATACAAATCAGATGTATTAATATAAAGATATATAATATGACAATTGACCATAGTTTATCTCTTTCTCCTATGGTTTTAAATTGGTAGAATACTTCAATAGATACGTTCCATCGTACGTATGTAAGTCTCAATACCAGAGACTAACATAGCCAGAATGGCATGGCACCATCTTAAACCAGACAAATGCCCTCTTCTTTGAGACTTAGAAAAACCTTACATTTGCAAAAGAACAAAAAGGGAAATCCATAGCAGATTGAACATGCCCAGAGGCCAGAAAACATTGATAAACTTTGGAGGAGATAGAAAACTGGGTTGAGAAGAACTTGATTCTTAATACTCCTCGTGCAATATTTTAGAACGTAATCATTTTAACACTCTTTTAAAATCACCCCTGGCTCTTGCCTAATGAAATGTTCCCAGTTGATTAAAAAGGGAAGGAAAAAATAAACAAAACCCAGCTGTATAAGAAACTGTGGCAGTCTAGATGTTTCCATTAGTCATGACATTTTGGAAGAAAATCCGTAATCTGCACTTTTAAAATAATAATCTTGGGGTGTCAAATCAAAAAGCCCAGTTGAGCCACCATACTTGGCGAGAGAAACCAAAAGGGTAAAAAAAAATTGTATAGCCTCCCAAAGATCTCATTCAGAAGTTACTTCAAAAGGTTATTATAATCTTTTCAGGATTGTTTTATTGTTCTTATGTCTCAATTCTATCAAGGGCCAGAAACTATGCATTCACAAGCAAGCGTTGTTTTGGAAACAATTATCTTATATTTTTTTTATTAGAGCCATTCATAACAAAACTAAAACTAAACTAAATCCAGTGACATTAAAACACATATTTATAAAAGTGTCCCTCATTTCCATCTTTCCTTCAAAATTATACAAGCTAGTAATTTATCATATCCTAGATATGGCATATTGCAGTACTAATGGTCTGTGGAAAGGTATCACAACTGGATTTCAACTTGGCACGTAAACAAGCTCCAACTTGAGAAAAAGTAAACAGAGAGATTTCTTTCCTTGGCTGTTTCTTCTTCGTAGGGATATACTTCATGGGTGGGGAGGCATTCTTCACCCTAGCCAAAATGTATGAGACATATTCTGCTGCTGTAATATAACCCATCCTCCCAAGGACGTGGGTCTTTTTTTAAAAAAAAAGCTGTCTTGAAAGAATGTTAATAGCTATAGAAAAGTTTGAAGCAGAACAAAATCCTACATTAGAGCAAGGAAGCAGAGCACCGAAATGATATTTGTCCCACCAAAGAAAATACTGGCAGTGGAGTTGAAATGTTGAGTCAAATATTCTTCCCAACCCCTTTCTGGCCCAAAATCTTTTTTAAAAAGATATATTTTCAGCCTTGAAGGTGGATTGCTTTGTGACGGGCTTAAATCTAGAGGGTGGGGAAATGTGGGAGGGATTGGGACGGGTTGGGTTGGGGGAAAAGTTAATTAAGCTGCACGCTAAAGCTGCAAAGGCCAGGGACTGTCATCCTGAATGACTTCCAGTGCCTTTCCAATTATTTCCTATCACTATTCCAGAGATGAGAAGGATCAAGAGGTTCTGAACTTCTCTAACACGAGGCTGTAGATGTCGGAATATTTTTTTCTCCCTGGAGCAAAAAGTAAAGGGAGATAATCAGAAGTAAATCTTGTCATCGAGTGTATCTAGGATGACTGACTCTGAGCAAGGTCAATCAAGTGAGAGCAAACTAGAAGGATATAATGATCCAAGTGCTGGGCCTGGACTCTGGTGTGTGAAGCCATCCTTCTTAGTCAAATCTTTAGCTGGCAGCCCTGAATTTTGCAATTCGGAATGGAATGGAATGGAATAGAATAGGAAACAGAACAGGAAACAGAATAGAATGGGAAACAGAACAGAAAATGGAATACAACAGGAAACAGAACAGAACAGGAAATGGAACAGAACAGGGAATGGAATGGAATAAAATTCTTTATTGGCCAAGTGTGATTGG